CACAGTTTCCCCAGGACCTCTTGAGAAGCACACAGAACAGCCCTCCCGAACTGCCTCACTAAAGGGTAAGAGGCAGGAGGCTTTCTCCATTGGGTACTGTCACCTGTTGGTTGAAGGCCAACCCAAGAGTGAGCTGCTGTCATGGGAGACAGCAAACTTTCAAAGGAGCCTCCAGGCAGAAAACAAAGAATGATAGAGAAAGGAAGCTGTCAGGGAAAAGTGACAAATTTGCATGACACCATCCCCGCAACCAAGTTCAAAATCGGAGGTGATGCTCAGAACATGAGTCAGGACACCACAGGCTTTTGACACACTAGGACTATGAATTTCTTAGAAGCCAATAGTCAGTTCATGGCCACACACCTTTAGTTTCCCACAATGGTGATCACTGCGGTATCACAGGGATGTAATGGGGTCAGTATTTATTAAACACTGACTTAGTAATAAGTACTACTCAGATAGTTCATATACTTCACATCTGACATATGAAGATATTGCACTGACTGTATTACTTCGCTAGGGCTGTCATAACAAAATACTAGAGCCTGGGTGGCTTAAGTCACAGAGATTTATTTCCTCAGAGTTCTAAATGCCAGAAGTTCGAGATCAAGGTATTGGTAGGGTTGGTGTCTTCTGAGGCTTCTCTCCCTGGCTGTCTTCACATGGCACTCTCCCCCCACCCCCTGCTGTACATGTCTGTCCCCAGAGTCTCACCTTTTTTTTTTTTGACAACTGCTACATCTCACCTTTTCTCCTCTTTTCTGCTTTCTGTTAAATGATTGCTGTTCTAGACACTTCTCCAAAATGGACATCCAGATGGCCAACAGACACATGAAATGATGCTCAGCATCCCTCCTCATCAGGGAAATACAAATCAAAACCACACTGAGATACCACCTCACGCCAGTCAGAGTGGCTAAAATGAGCAAATCAGAGGACTCTAGATGCTGGTGAGGATTTGGAGAAACAGGCACCCTCCTACCCTGTTGGTGGGAATGTAAACTGGTGCAGCCCCTCTGGAAAACAGTGTGGAGGTTCCTCAAAAAGTTAACAATAGAACTCCCCTATGACCCAGCAATAGCACTGCTAGGAATTTACCCAAGGGATACAGGAGTGCTGATGCATAGGGGCACATGTACCCCAATGTTCATAGCAGCACTCTCAACAATAGCCAAAACATGGAAAGAGCCTAAGTGTCCATCGACGGACGAATGGATCAAGAAGGTGTGGTTTATCTATATGATGGAATACTACATGGCAATGAGAAACAATGAAATCTGGCCACATGTTGCTACATGGATGGACCTTGAGGGTGTTATGTTGAGCGAAATAAGTCAGGCAGAGAAAGACAAATACCATATGATTGCACGTATAGGAGGATTAGGAGGAACTAAACGGACGACCAAGGGGGAGAAGAAGGGGGAAAATAGTGGGGGAGAGGGAGAGAGGCAAACCATGAAAGACTCTTGAATATGGAGAACAAACTGAGGACTGATGGGTATGGGGGGGAGGGGGGAGATGTGCACGGAGGAGGGCACTTGTGGCGATGAACAGTGGGTGTTATATGGAAACCAACTTGACAATAAACTATTTGAAATAAATAAATAAATAAATAAATAAATAAATAAATAAATGATTGCTGTTCTTTCTTTGAGTGTGTTTAAGTGATTCCCTGGACAGTCATCCAGGTAGATAATGTGCAAACCCCAGTTTGTTCAAGAAAAGAGCTCTGGGTCCTCCTAAGGCTTCCATAGTCAGTTGGAGGCCGACTATGGTGAAATATTTACATGTGTAACTTTATTCTTTAGTTAAACATTAAATTCTGGTTTTTTTTTTTTTTTGAGGATGCCCATCTGATTAGATTAGGGCCCACCTCTATCACCTCACTAGTTCCCTCTTTAAAGATCCTGTCTCCAGGAAACTGTCAACACCCTAGAGGAGAAAGCAGGAAACAACCTCCTTGACCTCCACCGCAGCAACTTCTTACTTGACACATCCCCAAAAGCAAGGGAATCAAGAGCAAAAATAAATGATTGGGACCTCATCAAGATTAAAAGCTTCTGCACAGTCAAGGAAACAATCCACAAAACTAATAGGCAACCAACGGAATGGAAAAAGATAGTTGCAAATGACATATCAGATAAAGGGTTAATATCCAGAATCTATAAGGAACTCACCAAACTCCACACCGGAAAAACAAACAACCCACTGAAGAAATGGGCAGAAGATATGAACAGTCACTTCTCCAAAGAGGACATCCAGATGGCCAACAGACACATGAAACGATGCTCAGCATCCCTCCTCATCAGGGAAATACAAATCAAAACCACACTGAGATACCACCTCACGCCGGTCAGAGTGGCTAAAATGAGCAAATCAGAGAACTCTAGATGCTGGCGAGGATGTGGAGAAACGGGCACCCTCCTACACTGTTGGTGGGAAGGTAAACCGGTGCAGCCCCTCCGGAAAACAGTGTGGAGGTTCCTCAGGAAACTAACAATAGAACTCCCCTATGACCCAGCAATAGCACTGCTAGGAATTTACCCAAGGGATACAGAAATGCTGATGCATAGGAGCACATGTACCCCAATGTTCATAGCAGCACTCTCCACAACAGCTAAAACATGGAAAGGGCCTAAGTGTCCATCGACGGACGAATGGATCAAGAAGATGTGGTTTATCTATACCATGGAATACTACATGGCAATGAGAAACAATGAAATCTGGCCATGTGTAGCAACATGGATGGACCTTGAGGGTGTTATGCTGAGTGAAATAAGTCAGGCAGAGAAGGACAAATATCATATGTTTGCACATATAGGAGGATTAGGAGGAACTTGACGGAGGAACAAGGGGGAGAAGAAGGGTGGAAATGGTGGGGGTAAGGGAGAGAGACAAACCATGAGAGACTCTTTTTTTTTTTTTTAATGTTTTATTTATTTCGAGGAGAGAGAGAGAGAGAGAGACAGCGTGAGCAGGGGAGGGTCAGAGAGAGAGGGAGACACAGAATCTGAAACAGGCTCCAGGCTCTGAGCTGTCAGCACAGAGCCCGACGCGGGGCTCGAACCCACGAACCCTGAGATCATGACCTGAGCCGAAGTCGGACGCTTAACCGACTGAGCCACCCCGGCGCCCCTAAATATGCCGTTTTGAAGGCTGGTAGAGCTACGGGATGTATTCTGAGCAGTAAGTGACAACTTTCGTGTCACGTTGGAAGGCCTAGGGTTGCTGTAGCTACAAGGAGACTTAAAACGTCAGAAGCAATCCAAGTGCGACTTCAGTCCACCTTCACCAGAAAGCAGGTGCGAGTTGGGCAAGAACATAAAAAAGGAGACAGGGTGACTATGCCCATCTCATTTGGATCAAGACGAGGGAAGAGGGAACTCCAGGGTTTCTAATTCCGGGTTCAACATTCTCCAGCAGTCTTCTTCCCCCAATTTCAGGGCAGGGCGACTGCAGTGGAAGTGGCCCCCAGTGTGGTGGCCCACGTAGGGGGAGCGGTGGGGGCGGGGGGAGGGGAGGGGCGGACCAGGGAGTCCGAGATCGAAGCAACGCGGAGGCTACAGAGGCTCAGAGACCAACAACAAGCAAGACCGATCAAAGGGTGAGAACACTCGGTCCGCCGGAACGCAGTACTGGCACGTCTGTACCCAACTTGGCTGCGCTGTACCCACTTTCCTGACTGGAGAGAGCATGCGCGAGAGGTAACCCAGGCCGGCGAGGAGGCGGGGCCGCGCGACTGCGCACGCGCGGGGGACACGTAGGCGGAAGCAGTGCGCGGGCGCCGGCGATGCGAGCACCTTGCGAGGAGGTGGCGACCGCTGTGGAAAGTGCCCGAGTAGGCGGAGAGGAGAAGGAGGTGATGGCGACCGACCTGGGGAGGGGGCGACCGCTCCGTCTGACTGGCGCCACCCGGGCTGGGGTCACCCTTTCAGGTGACTTACTGGCTCTGGAGTGGACGTGTACCCCCAGCACTTCGCCGTGTTTGGGACCCAGATCCTCCTCTCCCCAGAGACCCTAGACACAGCTTCTCTTCCTCCTCTATTACGAGCGTGCGGCGAGGGGGTGAGGGCAGGATGGAGGGCACGGGTGACTTCCTTTCTTAAAGAACGGAAATCTGCTGGCACGGTTTCTAGGGAGGAGTGTGTGCTCCTCCTCGCCCCCTTTCCGCCCTGCGGCGGGCTGGAGCGCCCTCGGGCCCCGGTCTAGGCGGGAGGCGCTTCCAGGAGGACCTTTTAGGTTCGTGGGGGTCCTCTGGAGGACTGTCAGTCGACTGGGTTCCCAAGACTGCTTTTGAGTTAAGAGCTACTTCCGGGTTCTGCGTTTAAGTACTTAGGGTCTCCTGCTGTCCTTGGATTTGCAATGTAGGGTGATTGTTCTTGCCAGGTTATTAAATTTATGCCCTAAACTCACTAGAAGCTATGCAGATTCTCCAGTCCTTGCAGCTTAGTTTTCTCCTCCGCCTTAAAAAAATTTTTTTTTTAATTTATCTATCTGTTTATTGAAAGAAATACTGTAAGGAGGTGGAATGCTTCACTGTACTGACAGTGGGTTTTTTAGTGTTGGGCATATGCATTTTTTCCAAGGTAGGATCTCAAATGTGATGTCGAGGATCGATTTTTGGATTCACGTTTGCCTAAGTGAATTGGGATAGTTTGGGCCTTGGAAGAGAGATATGGGCAGCATTTGAAAATAATTTGGATAAGTATTATTTGTACTTAGTTTCTTTATATTAAATCCAAAGCTTAGATTTATCCCTTGGGAAAAATAGAGTAACTATCCAAAGTGAGCACGCTGTTTGAGCTTCGTGTAATGAAGTGTGTACAAAGAAATGAGACAGTCTTTTTTTTTTGTCGTTTTATAACCATAACTCGTAGGTGAACAATTAATATTTAGAGTCCAGTTCATGTAGGTACAATGGTAAGATTATTTTATTTGTAACGTCGAGTGTGACAAAATACAGAATCAAATTTGTTCGGGTTATTTATACTGTAATGACATGATTTCCTCATATTCTACCCTCTAGTAGTGGGTGACTTTTCTTCTAAAGGTTGGAAAAAGCTAGATTAAGAAATGAACTGAAGGAATTTTAACTTAAGTAGGTCATTGCAAACCAGTGTTATTACCAGTTATTTATAATTTTTAGACGTCAGTATATGCTGCCTTTTTCCATTTTAGCAGTTACTTTGTACCATCAAATAACTAAAGTTAAATATCTGTGTTGACTTTAAGAAGAGGTCTCAGGCACTGATTCACACCCTTGGGGTTTTTTTTCTTCCCTTCAAGGGTTACTGTGAATTTCTAAAGCAGAGCAAAATGCTGATTATTTAATTTGAAAACAGGTTTAATTCTGTGCTTGATATTATTTTTACTGCATGGAAAGGACACTGACCTAATTTCTGTAGATGTTGATTAATATCCATCATTAATGTCTGAAGCAGAAGGCATATGGCAAACTTTCAGGATCACTGTTACTGGGTTTCAGACTTTACAGTTTTCCTTCATCAGTCATGTGATCTGACCAGTGAAGTTCTGATTAATAAAACTGCATCTAGATGCACAGCCCTCCAAGGCAGATTTTCTGGAGCTGGTGCCTCAAGTAAGCAAAGGAAATGAATTTATTTCCATGTTCATTTCAGATGCTTTGTGGGAAATTTCAGTGGAGATGTCAATATTTTGGCACAGAGGTCCAAGAAGTGACAGTGCCGAAGGGTTTAACTCTACATGTCTGGCACAGATCTGCGGCTCCTAAGATTGCCACTAGCTGTGTTAAAAGCGGCAAATTGTTGGAAAGAAGCAGAATTCTGTTGCTAAAATGGTGCTTACTAGAGTCCTTCATTTCATGTTTTACACTTCTGTTTTGTCCTAAAACATAATGAAGATGATATCTTCACTTCCCCTAAAGATTTCTTAAGCTTCTAAGAGAAGCAGACATAAAAACAAAACGTTTGTTAGGCTGTTATGATTTAAGTATTTGTAAAAATTTTTATAAAATGCTAGGAGAGTCCAGAGAACCACCCAGCTTGTAATTTATAGGGCGTTAATCAGAAGTATAGCATAGTGGGCATTCATGTTGAGCAATGTGAAAGAGGGATCAGATAGGGAAGAAAAGATTATAGACAGTAATCCAGTAATACCTCGTAATCTAGGCACGAGAAGACAGCCCCTAATGGTGGGTTCAGAAGCATATTTTAAATGTATTTATAGATGTAGAGTCAACAGGAACCTTGGCAAAATATAAATTTGAGGAAAAGGAAAGAATCTAAGATTTTTTTCTTTGTCTAAAATTTACAGATTTTCTGCTCAATACCATTAAATGAGATTGGGAATATAGGAAGGGCAGGGGTTTTTTGGAGACGAACATAGTGAGTTCAGCTTTGGACATTTTTTTTTAAGTTATTTGAGAGACAGAACATGGGGGAGGGGCAGAGAGAGAGAGAGAGAATTCCAAGCAGGCTATGCACTGAGAGTGTGGAGTCCAATGCAAGGCTCAAACTTATGAACCCCTGAGATCATGACCTGAGCCGGAGGTCAAGAGTAAGAGGCTTAACCAAATGAGCCACCCAGGGATCCCCAGCTCTGATCATTTTTTAAATGAAGTACCAATGGAACTCATGCATAGAAATGCTTTCAAAGAAGCATTTGGAAATAGAGATCTTGATTTCAGAAGAGAAGTCTGGGTTGGAAGTACAGATACATATTTCCAACTGCACTTCAAAGGGGCAAATCTCCATCAGCAGACCATATCGCACTAGCAGTAGTTCTAAAAAGTTGAATAATAGTTAACATATGTGGTCATACTATATGCCAGATGCTTTTACATTTATTTCATTTAGTACTAACAAAAATTCTATGATAGGCACGTTTTTTACCCCGCCCCCCTTTTAAAGGTGTACATCCTAAAGTTCAAGAAGATTAAAAGAATTTGCTCAAGGTTCTTCAGCTAATCAGTAGCAAAGCTGGGTCGTGAACTCAGATCTGTCAAAATCCAAATCCAAAGCATGGGGAAAGCATCATGCTGTCCTGCTTTTTCATAGCTATAATTTTTGAGTCATTGCAATATGCCAGGCATTCTGCTAAGTTATAGACATCTCAGCAGAATGTGATTTGGGGAAAAATTCTTGATACTAATAAAAGCAGCAAGGAGGTCTTCTAGAAGCTTTATTCTCTCCGTGTAAATATATAATCATTATTTGTACATCCCACTCGACCTCTGTTTTCCATAAAATATTTAGATTTGCTCACAAAGTTTGCCACCGCCATAGTATATTGGAAAAATCACATTTAGGTAGACAGAGTGATTGCAAGCTGAGGTTTGAGGGCAGCCAGAGGAAGGGCCAATGTATTTGGTTCCTCTGACTATTAGGATGCCGAGTATGCTAGAAATCAAGAATGCAGAGATAAGTAAGATTTGAGTCTTGCCTTTCCAGTTCTGTTCTCTCCCAGCTGGGGAATTAGGAAGGGTATCACAAAGGAAGGTCCACTAAAGCTTATTTCAAATCCTGACCTAGAGAAAGAAGACATCAGGCTGAAAGAGCATCATTAACATAAGGCAGAGGTGTTTGAAAGTCCATGGTAGATTTTTTGGAATGAAATAGTAGTCGATTGTGGGCAGTTTAGGGCCTGACTGAAAGATGTGGAGGGAGAAGAAGGTTACGTGGGACCAGATTTATTTGAATGGTACTCTGTATCCATGTCTATACATATGGAAAGTAGTTACTCAGGTTTTTGTTTCTTCTACATTCAAGATCATTTAAAGCATGATTTATAAAGAAAGTCAAATCGCAAGGGTGTCCTGCAAGATGACTTAAAGTCTTAACTCAGAGATGGGAGTGATTGAAACATAGTGTGGAAAGGAAGAACATATATAAAGAAGAAGAAACAGGTAAAAGAAAAGAAATAACAATAAAACTTTTTAAAATTATGCTTTTTTTCCTCTCTAGAAATTTGGCAGGTGCCCTGTAAAGTAAATGTCCTTTGTATTGCCTGAGTACTGTTAGTTACAAATTGTATGCAGACCCTTGATCCATATTTAAGTTACTGAAGATGGCTTGCTTAATCTCTGTGATCAGCAAAGAACTGATCAGGAAATGACGAATTCTTGCCATTTTAAACCATCATGACAGTTTATTTTAAAGAGATTTCTAAATCTGTCAGAATTATCCTTATCCATCGTCTTTACTCAACTAGTCTAAAGTTTAGTCCCCACTCTGGGGTTGTAAAAGACAGTCTTTTCGAGGAAGATAATTTCTTGATCAAAAATTTGTTCTTTAGTTGTCCTAAATCTACTCTCTCCTCAACCTTTATGTGGAATTCATTTTGTTTAGTTTATATAAATCCAAAGAGCAACTGACAGTCATCTACAAAGTCCTCATGACCTTTTTTTCACAGACTAACAAAAAATGATGTTTCCCAGCTTTTTATAATCCCAAAAACTTCTTTATTTCTTTTTTTTTAACAGCTGTATTAAGGTATAATTTTCATACAAAAAAACTACATGTTTAACATAACATAATTTGATGAGTTGGGACATATGTATATACCTATGATACCATCACCTAATAATCAAGGTAATAAACATATCTGTCACCGCTGCAGGTTTCCATGTGTCCCCCTTGTGTGTGTTTGTGGAGGGGGGTTAAGAATGTATAACATGATATCTACCCTCTTAACAAATTTTTAAGTGCACACCTCCATGTTGCTAACTATAGGCACTATGTCCTACAGCAGGTCTCTAGAACTTTCTCATCTTGTATAAATAAAACTTGATATCCATCAAACAACTCCCCAAAGACTTTTAAAATTAAAATGATTTTTTTCTGAAGGAAGAAAACATCTCCTTTTAACCTGAGAAATGCCAAGGTTAAAGCATATCATCCTTCCTATGGTCTCTGATAAATCTAGCTTTTTTTAAAGTAACGTACAGTTGTTTGAGTTTATTTTAAAACATCCTTAGCAAATACATTTTAAATTGTGTTAGTATTTAAGGGAGCATCAGTTCTTTGGTGCAATTAAAGGTCGACCTTAATGTGGAAGATGTTACTCATAGACTATCATGGGCTTTAAAAATTATATTCTTAATATATATAAAAACATAATAAAAGCATATTTACTTCTTTGATAGACACGAAGATAAAAAAATAAACACTAAGTTAGCTTTTGGTTCTTGCTGTGGAAGTGAGACTGGCATTATATTTACTGATGTATTGGTCTTTACCAGGCAAAGAAAAATTGGAGAATAGACATTGGTTTTGGTTGTTTAGAAGTTTGAATAGAGGAATTACTATATTAATATCTAGAGAGAAGGAGATTCGCCTTTATAATTTTTCAAGTGTGATGTGAAATATTACTTGGAGCATCGTATCTTATCCAAATGTTTGGGTTTAATTCTAATTTCCTTCTTTAGGACTTGGCTCAGCAAGCAAAAGAAACACAGAACAAAGGAGAGGAAACCAGCAAAGATAATTTTGGAAGCACTGAATGCAGCAAAACAAGAACAATGGATCTCAAGTTCAACAATTCCAGGAAATACATTTCTATAACTGTCCCTCCCAAAACACAGACAATGTCACCACATATCAAGTCAATAGATGACGTCATGGTGCTTGGCATAAATCTCAGCAGATTTAACAAACTTACTCAGTTTTTCATATGTGTCGCTGGAGTTTTTGTATTTTACCTAATTTATGGATATTTACAGGTAAAAATATTTATTTACAAGATGCCATTAATTTATAACAGTTGAGGTCAATAAGAGCATTACTGATACTTTTGTCCAAGGTAGTTTTCTCTACAAGATACCAATTTATTCACATTTTTGAATTTTTTAATTATAAAAAAAGGGTTTCTAAAAGTTGGTGTGCTCCTTTTATCAGGGATCAGAATTTCACAGTTAAATATTTCAGATGGGACAGGATCAGAGACCATCTTAAAAAATTAAAATTATGAACGAAGTTGAACTGTTTATTGTGTTTAACAAAATGTAGGTAATGATTGCACCCATGTGTTTCTAAAACAGTGATTCAAGTACTCACTGATATTTTGGAACATAATTCTCTAATAAAATTGAAAAGTAACACAAAAGCCATATTCTGGTCCATGGTTGATTCTTGAAGCTCAATGATAAAAAGTCATTTTTGCAAAAATATATCAGGATGTATATCCGGAGTAGCTCTTTAATCCTGTAATACCTGAATTGTTCATTTTATGAAACACCTATTGTGTTCTCATTCTTCTGGCTTTCTCCTAATTTTGTCGGAATCTTATTTTTCTGTGATTTTCAGTTGTACAAAACACTTCCAACATTGCCACAATTTGTCTTGCATTATATTATGGGATAGTTATACACATTTGACTGACAGCAAATTCCTGACCTTCAGGGACATGGGGTGGATGGGTGAGGAGCCAGGCTAATGTAAACAGTGTTTAAATGGGGACTAATATTCTTGATGGTCAGTTAATTAGTGAGTATTTTCAGCCAATACCAACTTTGCTTTTTTTTATGCAGCTTTCCAATGTGAGAAATCCTTTTATAAATCAAGAAATGGAAAGAAATGTGTTTTGTTGAAACAGATAATATTTCTGGTATTGTTTAGTATTAATTAGAGTGATCTTAAAAATTATTGTATTCTTTTTTATTATCCTATAGAGATGAAATATAAAAAAAAAGTATAAATAAAAAAGATAGTAGAATTGATTATTCCTTACCTTGTAAAAATGCTCTGAGGAAGATTAGTGTAAAACAAAAACATGAATTAAAAATCTTAGTATTTATAAGTAATTTTCCCAGTAGAAGATGATACAGAAATTCAGATATCACAGTGAAGAACAGTGAAAAATAGTACATTTTATCAAATGAAGCTTGCAATTTCTTGTTGAGAAACATTTTTTTTCTTCTTCAAAATACCTTTTTACCAAATAGCTTGGGAGCCGAGTTAGTCATTAGAAAGGAAAATGAATTAGAAATTTACTATACACATTTATATTAATCTTTTTCTGTTTGATTAATGATCAGAGACTTTATAATATATGCAAAACTTCTTTTAAAAGTGGATAAAGATCACTTTCATTTGTGAAAACTGACATTGCTAGCATATGAAAATAGTTTAGGAGCGCCCGGGTGGCTCAGTTGGTTAAGTGTCTGACTCTTGATCTCAGTTCAGGTTTGTGAGATTGAACCCCACATCAGGCTCTACGCTATCAGTGCAGAGCCTGCTTGGGAATCTCTCTCTCCCTCTCTCACCCTCCCTGGCTCATGCTTTCTCATTCTTGCTCTTTCACTTTCTAAATTAAAAAAAGAAAACTTTAAAATAAAGAAAATGGGGTTTTGTAATTAAGTCATTTATATATATACAGTATAGTGGAATATATCTGAATGCTAGCATACTTAATAGAGCTATTTTCATATTTTATAGTTCATATGCCAGAAAAATCCTAACTACCTTAAAGACATACTTGAACATGAAATCTAAAGTTGGGAAATTCCACAGTATCTAGTTCGGAGTTTATGAGGGAGGGGGTTTATTTATTAAGAGAGATAACTTTTGGTATACCTCTTAATGACTTGTTAATAATGGCTTATTAACAATATAAATGTTACTTTATGATACAGTATTATGTTTAGACAACCATTTACAAGGAGAAATTTTATAAAATCTGTGGCACAGAAATTCCAAAAATTAACACTGGTTTAAACTGATTAAATTCCCATAGAAAAAAACAGGTATGAGATAATAAGCTTCAAATGAAATATATTTATTGTATAGTAAATAAGTTCTTGAGCTGTGACATTTCTCAACGTTTGGGGTAAATTTTTAATTTTGGCAATTTTTTTTAAAGACTAAAGTATAGGATAACATTGCTATAGTTATCCTTCCCTCCCATTACTTTTTTCACTCAGTTCTTTGGAAAGGCCTCCTGCATGGACTTCTCTAATTTTACCTCTGAGATGCCTTGTGATTTGGGTGGTGTTACAGTTTTTGATGGTTTGTTGTTGTTGTTGTTGCTGTTGTTGGGGGCGAGGCTTGGTTTCTTTTAAAATGTTGTGTTTATAGGAATTTGTTGTGAAGTAATTGGTTTGCCCCAGAACTTAATAGTATTCATGTATCTCTTGACAGGAATTAATATTTTCAATGGACGGTTTTAAGTCCTATGGCTGGTACCTTACTTTAGTACAGTTTGCATTTTACTCCATATTTGGCCTAATAGAACTGCAGCTTATTCAGGACAAAAGGAGAAGGTATGTAGTTTGTTTTTGTTTTTCTAAGTTAAATTCATTAGTAGTAGTTAAATTTTTTCTCTTGTGTTTTGGGAATATGGAGTATATTATACATACAGTATATATATTTCCTATTAATACATACCTAATACCCAAGAATTTTTATCAGCATCATCAACTTACTAAAAAATATTAAATATATTTCTCTTGTACACTGAAAAAAAGTGGTCTCTCTTACAGTGTAATGTTATCAGAAAAATGTAGTTTAGGGTCAACTTACGGTGTAATGTATCTTCTTAAAACAGGAGAAAGTATTCAGATGTACGTACATGTTTTTATAAATTTCACTGAAATGAGTGTGATTACTGAAAGATTTATAGTGCTGCTGAGATCAAAGTGGTGAACTATCAATGCCACTTCTTTAGTGGTCTTTAAAATGTACAGTCAGTGTTTGGTGGGGTGTGTTCCACTCAATATTGTCATATGTGTAATGTCAAGTAGCCCAGACTGCATGTTTAGACATCAGGGAAATTTCATAACATGTGTTTTCATCAAAACCACAGGAGCTTGTTTAACAGCCTATTTTAAATTGACCATCTAGGCTTGAGAAATATCTCAAAATATCTTTAATGGTATACTGAATAAGGTGCAATAAAAACCTGAGGATAAACAGGAGGAGGTTAGGAAATTGAATGTAACTTCTGTAAGTGTGGTTATCCTGTCCTATTAGACTTTAATACGTGAACATTTCATGTATATATCGGGCAGTTTAAATGCAGTGAGGAGCTATAATACTGACATTCAGTCTTCATTGATATAAATATTCAATTGTTCAGTAAAAATAGGATATTTTCATAGCTGTTGTTTTTCTTAACAAAAATATTTTTGATATTTGTAAGAAGATAACTATAAAATTTTAAATATTTAAGTCTATACTATCCGTATTTCTTCATAGTTCTAATTTTGCCTCTCAACCTCTCTTTACTGCCAATAAACTTATAGAGCAGTCATAGTAAAAATGTTTGAGTCTGAGGATAGCATCTGTATTCTTTTCATGCTCTAAGACTGCCATTCTCAGCCACAGGTGATAGAATAGAAAGTAATTAAATGTATCTGTCAAGACTAATATGTAGGAAAGCTTAATGATTCATTACCAATTGCAAACCGCTGGATGTCTGTTTTCAAAGCAAAAGAATCTAACACTATCTTTATTAAATGGAAAGTGACACCAAGATATGCCTCCTCATCCACCCAAATGAGAGAGGGAGTGGCTTCCAGCCATGTTTATCCCTCCCTTTAAACCACATGACCATAACATGCTTAAAGATAAAATAATTTGTGTTTGATTTAAACATAAATGAAGGCGTATAGGAAAAGAATTTACAGATGAAGATAATTATGAGTTGAAACCTTTTCATTTCCAAGCACACTGAAAACATTTTTAGAAAAAGTCTTTAAAGGTATGTTACAATGAAAATATGCTCAGTCACATATTTTTTAATTTATTTAAGTGCCACGGTTCTCTAAACCTTAAGTTAGCCAGACGCTTCGCTTAGTTTTTTGTGTGTGTGTGTTATTTTCCCCCTTTCTTCCTGCGTTTATATGAATACCTGTGTACTTGAAAGAGGAAAGGATATGGAGTCAGAAAACATGTATTTGAGTCTTGGCGTGGCCTCTAATTAGCTGTCCTAAGACCTCAAGGGAGTTTTTTAAGATCTCTGACCTTTGAGGACCAAACCAGGTAATGTGTGGTGAAGCGTAGTGTAAGCTGTAATACCCTGACCACGCTGCCTGTTACTTTTCACCAAAGATTACCTTGTAACTTTATTATTACTTTATGTGAGTTTTTAACCAAGAAGACCTGTCAAATTGGTTTTGAAGGGACTACTGAAAGGCACGATTTCCCCACCATGTCTAAAGAAGTAAGAAATTGAGAAATTAAATAAAACAGACCCAGCAAGCACCCGAGAGGCACAGTGATGAATCTGACCTCCTGGTCTCGCCAGTGAGCGAGCACACCCCGGGGAGGCTGGGGTCTTCATGAGTCTCTACAGCAAGTTGCTGTCAGAGTTGTGGCCTTCTGAATGTCGGTCTCCCGAGTTTGGGGCTGGTTTTCTTTCTACCCGTGTTACCCTACTTTTGTAATCCTCATTCCTTATGATTTGCCTTATGAGTTTTTTTAATTTCCGGCCACTGTTTGCAATTCATCTCTGAGGAACTTCTGTCATTACCTGGAGGAGTGGTGCTGTCCTTCCCTGATGGTGCCTCGCTGAGGGTTAGACCCCACAGACAGCATATAAATCAGTGTTTGTGGTCTACCCTGATGCACGTCTGCGTGCCAGGTTATTCCCACGTGGACTTCACATGTTGACTACTGTGCCAGCAGTTGAGTAGGAAAGGCCTCAACATTGCAATGTAGACGGAAAAGATTCATTTTAATTGAATTTTCCAGTAAATTATTTTGCCTTATATCCAGCCAAATAAAAAATATGGAGGAGTTTTGTTGCCTTGATTTAATCCCAAAATGGAAGCTACATCTAAGTATGCAGCATAATCTAATTATGCGCATAGTGCTTCACGTGTTAGTCACACCCGTGTCTAGGGTTATTTTAGACCATTAAATACCCAATCAAAGTGAGCATATGCTCGCAGTAATAGTGCAAAATTCTGAAAATGCCAAATTAAAATTCCTCTTTAGGAAATCCAAATAGAACCCCAAGTAGTGATTTGGGATCGTGAGGAGAGGAATCAGATTCCTCATCTTGACGTTAATTATTGCAACATTTTATGGAATAGAGCTTTAGAGCTCACTCAAGACATTGTGGTACTAAAAACCACTTTCAGCGTTTTAAGCCACTGTGTACTTTTTCCTAAGGTTCTCTGCTCAGGTTATTTTAGCAGCAGGGCTGGACGTATTTTTCCTAATGCTAGATGGGAACATTAGGAAACAACAACAATTCAGAAGTCGAAAATTAGTTAAGGTGCCATATATTTTACCATGATGAAGGTCAATATTTTTCAAGACTTTTTTTTTTTTAATTTAGTCGAGATAGTTTTTATACATAGGTAGAACTGCTATTAAAAAACGTCTTACCAGCATTTCCGCCCATCCAGAAGAATCTGTAGAACTCTGTGGTATACCATGTTTCACACAGTTGAAAGTTCTCACTTGGGATCAGTCAAATAAGGGTAACTTGTTGCTTTTACCAACATTCTTTTATATGAGTACAGTGTGATAACTTTTAAAATAGTGGCATTTCACCAGTATTTCTAGAAATATTCATCAGAAATTAGCCATTTACACATTGTAAACACATTATCGTACAATAGTGTGAATTGGGTCCCAAAATGAAGATTTTAAAAATTGTCTTTTACAGAATACCAGGAAAAACCTACATGATAATAGCTTTTCTAACTGTGGGTACTATGGGGTTATCAAATACTTCCTTGGGCTACCTGAATTATCCCACCCAAGTCATCTTCAAGTGCTGCAAATTGATTCCTGTTATGCTAGGAGGAGTTTTTATTCAAGGTATAGTAATGATATGTTTTCATACTGTTTGAAACTAATAGGCTCTGTTATGGCATCTAGCATTAGGAAAAACCTGAAACTCCAGTTAATGTTTTTAATAAACATTCTAAATATTAGAACAATTCTGAGTGACATCTTAGCAAAATAAGGTATTATAAAAACCCTGATACTTCTGTGATATCTCCTAGTATTTGAAATTGGTAATTTGGACTGGGGAAAAATAAAAATAGTACTTTTTTAAAATTATTTTTTTCTTTTAATCGGGAATCCATCACATTTCCAGAAATACTTCATTCACCTATTGAAGGCATAGCTCAGAAATACCTGGAAACCCCCTTTTTTGGGTTCTTTCATTCTTCTGCTCCTCAGGGCTCCTCTCTCTACCCTCATCCTGCACATGGACAGTTCTCACACCGAATTAAAGCTTAACCTGAGCAGAACTGCCTTTTTACCAAACCTGCTGGCTTTTTGACTTTCTAGAACCCTGGTTAAGTTACAAGCTATGTGGAAATAGGAGTGAAAGAGGAAGCAAGAATAGCAAGTGGAACACATTTTTGTTGTTTATATAACAGTCATGGCAGGATATTCATGTTTTGATAATCAGGTGTTTCTATTTCATGACTTCCTTTTTTATATTAGAGGCCTTCCCACAAAAGCCCTTTAAAATTTTATGTATGTCCACTACTTCACATATAATTTCAGGGTAGCTGTTGATGCAGGAAAAAGTACTGATACCAATCCCTATTAAAACCCACGTGCATGTATAGTACTTCCTTAATAATCCTTACCAAAAAGTTACACTACATGATTTTATTATTTAAATGTGGATATACTAAAATAGGTTACTTTGCACCAGTTCTGATTATGGTAGTTGCAAATTGAAACCTGAATAATTAATACTCTGGTTACTTTGTAAATGGATAGGCCGTAAGAAAATTCAGAACCTTATAATATATATGAAGTAAAAGAGGCACGCATGTCCACAAACTTTAAACGTTCACATTTCCTCACTACCGTAACAGATAAGGTAGGATCTCATATCTGACTTCTAAGGACATGTTGCTGCTCATTGGTCATTTACTTTTCTGAAGCCCTTCTGTGACTATCTCAGGCATTGATCTAAGCGTTCTTCGTATGTTTTTGACTTTGGATATGAAAAGCAGATCCTGCCATACTCGGTTAGACATATAGTTGAAAGTGTCCAAAAGGGCATGTGCATAATGAGGTTGCTTACATTTGTTTCACGCAGGGAAGCGTTACAACCTTGCAGACGTGTCGGCAGCCCTGTGTATGAGCCTGGGCCTGATATGGTTCACCCTGGCTGACAGCACGATTGCTCCAAATTTCAACCTTACAGGTAAGGAAATTGTGCCACTCAGATTTTGCAGGCATTTTGGTTTAGAGTAAGAACTTTATCATTTCGTAAGGATTTTACATGATAGTGTGACATAGTGTGATTTTCGTATCTGATATAAAGCTTTCAGACATTCTGAATAAAATGTAGTAAAAATATGACAACCCTGGCAATGTAACAACTCTTTTTAGTGCTCTTGCATCTTGACGTGACTAGAGGCTGTTTGGCCAGTCAGAATCTTCTGTGATCAAGTACATGATAGATGAGTTTCCCACAGGCTGAATTGGAAGTATACACATTAGTTACAGGAGAATCACAGTAGAAACTTTTTATTCCTTTTTTTTTTTAAATTGAAATTGCACATTTATGGGGTGCCTGGGTGGCTCAGTCGGTTAAGTGTCCGACTTCGGCTCAGGTCATGATCTCATGGTTTGTGAGTTCGAGCCCCGTGTCAGGCTCTGTGCTGACAGCTAGCTCAGAGCCTGGAGCCTGCTTCAGAATCTGTCTCCCTTTCTCTCTGACCCTCCCCTGCTCATGCTGTCTCTCTCTCTCTCTCTCAGAAAAAAAAATTTTTTTTTAATTTTTTTAAAAAAAGAAATTGCCTATTTATTTATTGTCTTAGCTAAAGAGGGAAAGTTATGCTGTACATTAACATAGAACTGTGTGCTCTAAATATGTTTATAGCCTTACACTGCTTGAAGTGTCCACCATGAACATTTTCCTTACAGTGTATCACGTGGAATTTTGTAAATAAAATTTAGGTTTTTCACAGGCAAAATTAGATATTCTAGTATACTTAGAACTAAATAAGAATAAAAGGTGTTATAATATTGTTTTTATCCTAATGACTGTGAAATTATTTATTACATATACAGTATTATAATTCTTATACTGTTGAGTTTTATTCATAAGCTTCGTATCATCCCATTTCCTAGCCTGACAGAAATAGTATTTAAAATACTTACGTGTTCAGGGCGGGTCTCGGTGGCAGAAGGAGGAGTAGGTGCAAGGGAAGATGGTGGCAGCGGAGGCTGTAGACTGCATCATGGAGGTCTCCTGGGGCCAGGCAGAAAGCAGCAGGAAGCCCACTGCTGACATATAAAGATTGTACTTTATTACTTTGATTCCTGTGCTCACTAAGGCATTCACAAAGAGATGCTGAGAGATGAAGTGCTCACCCTCACATACCAAAACTCCATGTTTCATCACTGGCACCTCTTTGAGGACAGCATGGTATTGGACGTGGGCTCAGGCACAGGGGTCCTCTGTATGTTAGCTGCCAAGGCTGGAGCCCACAAGGTCATTAGGATCAAGTGTCAAGGATCTCGGATTATGTGGTGCAGATGGTCAAAACCAACACGTGTGGTGACCATCATCAAGGCGAAGGTGGAGAAAGTAGAGCTTCTGGAGATGAAGGTGGACATCATCATCAGAGAGTAGATGGACCACTGCCCTTTCTACAGGTCAGTGCTCAGTATGGTGCTCTTTGCCCCAGACAAGTGGCTGACACCCGATGGCCTCATCTTCCCAGACTGAGCCGTGCTCTACGTGACAACCATAGAAGACCGACTGTATGAAGACTATGAAGATCCACTGGTTGGAGAATGTATACGGCTTTGACAGGTCTTACGTCAAAAACATTGCCATCAGCGAGCCCCTGGTGGATATGGTGGACCCCAAGCAATTGGTCACCAATGCCTGCCTCATAAAGGAGGTGGACATCTACTGTCAAGGTGGAAGACATAACCTTCACCTCCCCCTTCTGCGTACAAGGGAAGCAGACTTGCTGGTGGACTATTTCAACATCAAGTTCGTTCACTGCCACAAGAGGATGGGCTTCTCCACCAGCCCTGAGTCCCTGCAGTGGGAGCAGACAGTGTTCTACATGGAGGACCACCTGACAGTGAAAACGGGCAAAGAGATCTTTGGTACCATTGGCATGCAGCTCAGTGCCAATAATGATTGCGACTTGGACTTCACCATTGACCTGGACTTCAAGGGCCAGCTGTGTGAGCCGTCCCACTCCACTGACCACTGGATACACTGAGGCAGCACCTGGCTTCTCCCACAGGCCCAGGGGCCACAGCGTCTTGGGCAATTCTTCTCTTCCTTCCCTCAGAAGGGATTTTTTTTAGGGCCTGGGCTGGGGGGTTGGGGCACATCGTGACTGTGTTTTTCGTAATTTATGCTTTTATATGGTTGTATTTATGCCAATAGATCCTCAACCAGGGAAAGAAGTAAAAATAAAATAAAATACTTAGGTGTTCAGAGGAACTCTGAAGAATGGGAAAAAAATGTATTCATGAGAAAAAAGTACTACATAATGAAGAAAATTATTTACATCAGCTTTGCTATTTCTGAAAATCAAAATTTTTCTTAATGTCTATTAGTCAGCCATCTTTATTTACTAACCTGGTTAACCAGGCTAAGTTAATGGATTTAAATGTAACCAGTACAGCCTCTTGGAATCACCCTTCAGCAACCCGAAGGAACCTTTTACATCTGTTTCAACTTTCCTCAGAATACAGGTGACCATTATTTCAGTGAGTTACTCTGAGAAAGAAGCTTGTAGTTACAGATATGTCTGCATTGGTATAGATTCTTCAGGAATGCTTCATGTCAGCAACTCTAAAAGGAAAATTATATATGAAAACTGGGATAATTGACTCTTTTACTTATGAAAAAGCAGTTTTAGAGAAGGCACAATTTGCAGCCAGAGACATGGCTTCAAACTCCTCTCAGATCACTTAAAAATTATAACCGCGGGTGAGGTGCCAGACCCCTTTGTACTCTCCCTTTAAACCAGAGGTAATGATGATAGTGCTCACACAACGGCGGTGGAAGGGCTGACTGCGGTGGTGGAACACTGGATATGAACGAAAGCACGTGCGCATGCTGAGGGTGAGGGTGACGATAACAATGGGATGACGTGTCAGTGATGTCGGTGGTCTCGCCACTTCTCAAGGTGACATGAGCGCTGACCTTTTGTAAGAGATATTTTGTAAGAGAATTAGAACCTGGGGGTTCCTGGGTGGCTCCGTCAGTTAAGCGTCCAACATCAGCTCAGGTAATGATCTCACGGTTTGTGGGTTCGAGCCCCGTATCGGGCTCTGTGCTGACAGCTCAGAGCCTGAAGCCAGCTTCAGGTTCTGTGTCTTCCTCTGTCTCTCTGTTCCTCCCCTGCTTGCAGTCTCTCTCTCAAAAATAAATAAGGATTTTTTTAAAAAATTTTAATAAAAAAAAAAAAAAAGAATTAGAACCTGGCAGTACTTCATCATTAAGAATAACTGATGAGCACTTATCACAGTCTCTGATCTATAATAATATATTATCTAAAGGAGATTAGAATAGCTGTTAAGGTAGTTATTTAAGATAGACATACATAAAACTTTGAATATATAAAGTGAATATATCAGAATGTTCTTATGCAGATAAATGGCTACCTTTAAATATTTCCCTTAGAACGAAGTTCAAGAACTTTCATGCTGTGTTGCCTTTGTTCAGAACAGTTTTGGAATGTCTTTGAATAGCCTGTCAGGAGCTAGGATATTGTATTCAAGGACTTCAACAGTATCTTGTCTTTTTGTTTCAAGAACAGATTTCATATTTGAAGTACATAAGAGAGCATTCAGAATCAAGCTTGGCAAATAAAAATGTATGATTAGGTAATAAATACCACAAAGTTAGATGGTGAAAAGCCAAATTGAAAACTAAGTATGAAAACTTGAAAGTTCTCAGTTAAGTGCACACACACGCACATATATTTTTCTGCTCCCTGTGATTGCTTCTACATTGTTTAAAAAAATGAAAAGGGGAAACTCCCTTACATCATCAGACTCAGATGTAACGAAGGCTGCTTTTATTCTCTCTGTAAAGCACATGGCTGGTGACTGGTGTCCTAAACACTTCCAGGTAACAGCCTGCTTCTCAGATAGACATGCCCATTCGCATCAGTGTGTTCATTTCTAGATTTGTACATACCAGTTGTACCTGTTGTAGCCATGTAATAATATTACTTAAATTATGCAGAAATGAGGGTACCTGGGTGGCCCAGTCGTTGAGCGTCCACTGTCCGCTTAGGTCATGATCTCATGGTTCACAAGTTCGAGCCACACATGAGGCTCACTGCTATCGGTGCAAAGCCCACTTTGGATCCTCCAGCTCCCTCTCTCTGCCCCTCCCTCACTTGCACTCTCTCAAAAGTAAATAGACATTTCCCAAAAAATTGGCCAAAAATGAGTTTGAAGAGAGACAGAATTGTTTCTGATGATTGAAACAATATGACTGACTAGTCAATAAAATCACCATTGAATTAGGTATGGAGGAAACAACTGTAAAAATAGCAGGGTATCCTAAAAGTGTGAAGGGATTCTGCACCCTGACTGTTTCAGAAGTTCCTGTGTTTCCTGCGTGCTTTGTAACAAAAACAACTGAGAAATTACTAAAAATGTGTGTTATGAGTATGGTTTTAGTTAGGGCCCATATTCAAAGAAAAGACCTTGGCAACTATATGCATGTTTATGTGTTTTAAATGTTTTAGTAATATAGGTAATTTTTTTTATGATTTCCATCCTCATCTGATCTTTTCAGTTAACTAACCACCAGTCCCAATAGAGCGCCTAAGAATTTCTTCTGTATTTGTTTAATACAGTATTCTTTTAAGACATTTAACCTAAGCAGAACTATTATTTTATATAATAATGAAACACAGCAAGGTGGCAACTTTAATGTAGTTTATTAGCGTCCATTACTTTTTTTAACATCCATCTATGAGCCCATTATAGCTGGTTGTGGATGAAAAAAATCAGATTTTACTGAGCAAATGTGATTTTAAGATCTGCTTTTGTTTTTCAGCCCAGTTAAATCTCTGGTGAATCTTGAGTGCTGTTCCCATATTTAAATAAGGAAGTTGTATTTTTCTTGCACTTTCTTGAAGGTGTGATCCTTATTTCCCTGGCCCTGTGTGCAGATGCCGTCATTGGAAACGTTCAAGAGAAAGCCATGAAACTGCATAATGCTTCCAATTCAGAAATGGTAAGTGCTTTCTCCCCATGGCGGACAGACTCTGAACTGGTGATGTGCTTCACTCTGTGAAATAGTTCTGGTATTGAAGACTGGTGTGGCATTTTTCAACTGGTTTGTCATAATTAGTTTAATAAAAGTAATCCATGCCAACATCATGGGACACGAAAAAATAAAAATACCATTGCCCCTGCAGAGCTTATCATATAATATTTGATATATATTTTTTCTTATTTATAGGTTTTTTTTACATATTAAAAAAATTCTTTGTTACATCACTTTTCGCTTCTCTTTGGCACTATTTGCCATTTAGAAGTTTGTAAATTTTCTGTGGTTGATCCTTTTCTTCATGGCTTCTGGCAACATATTATGATTGAAAAGGGCTTTCCCAACTCTTAAGATTTAAGAATTTTACCCAGGTTGCCTATCCATTTTATGATTTCTTTTTTAATTAAAGCTTCGATCCAGCCAGAGCTTCAAAAGAGTTTTCTTCCATATGGCTATCCACTTGTCCCAATGCCATTTATTGAAAGATTCATTTTCCAGCCTAAGCGCCTTCTTTTTATCATATTGTATTATACTGTAGGATTCACAATTGTATTCTTTTGGGTTTATTTCTGCACCAAAACCATATAAGGATAACAGCCTTGTCGTACATTTACCATCTGCTGGGACTAGCCAGCAATGCTCCTTTTGTTTTTCAGAATATTACTACCCTAGTTATTCTTGGGTGTTTAGATCCCCAAATAAACTAGAAATCCCATTGCTTTTGTGATTGGTATGACATTAAATTAAAATTAAATTAGGGAGAATGGCATCTATAAACTTGACTCTTTCTGTCCAAAAATAAGGAATGACTTTCCTCTTATTCAAGTGCTTTTTTTTTTAATGTCTCTTAGATTTTAAGGTTTTTTTTCCCATATAAATCCATATTTCTTATTGAAGTTGTTAGGGATTTCATCTTTTTGCTGTTGTTACTGCAAATAATGCCCATTGTTTCACTGTATCTTCTACCTGGTTGGCATTTATATATAGGAAAGTTACTATATGTATACGTACATTAATTTTATAACCAACCCCTTGCTAGACAGAGTGTACTACATTAAGAGCATATAGAAATGGTCTTTCCTCATCTTCTTGATCCATTTGTCCATTGACGGACACTTAGGCGCTTCCCATTTATCTATACGATGGAATACTATATGGCAATGAGAAATAATGAAATCTGGCCATGTGTAGCAACATGGATGGACCTGGAGGGTGTTATGCTGAGTGAAATAAGTCAGGCAGAGAAGGACAGATACCATATGTTCGCACGTATAGGAGGATTAGGAGGAACTTAACGCAGGACCGCGGGGGAGAAGAAGGGGGGAAATAGTGGGGGAGGGGGAGAGAGGCAAACCATGAGAGACTCTTGAATGCTGAGAACAAACTGAGGACTGATGGGTGTGGGGGATGAGGGGGGAGATGGGCATGGAGGAGGGCACTTGTGGGGATGAGCACTGGGTGTTATATGGAAACCAACTTGACAATAAACTATTTGTAAAAAAGAAAAAAAAAGAAATGGTCTTTCCTGTTACTTTGTCAGCAGAGTGAGCATCTTTAAAGAGTCTTTAATCTCAGTCAGAAGTTTTCTTGATGTTCATCACCGCTCTTCCTGGGTAAGGTAAAGATCAGAGAATTAAGGAAGTGTAAATAGTTAGAAGTACAGTGTTTAAGAGCTTAGGCTCTGGACTAAGATCCCCTCAGTTTATATCCCAGCTTTACGAGCTCTCTTATTTGGGGAAAATGACTTACTATGTCTAAGTTTTAATTTCCTCATCTACAGGTTGAGGAGTAAGTGGAATTATTCATATAGAGTGTTGTTAGCACAGTACCTGCCGAATCACAGTCCTGTAAATTTGGTGACGATGCTGCTGCTGATTGTACTTTTGAGAGTAAAATAAACCGGAATAGGAAAATTGGTAGGAAGACTGGGAAACGAAGCAATAGATATGCCAGATACTGCTTATTTTCGTTATACTTTAATGTCTTTACAAATTTAACGTCTGGGTTTTTTTCATGTTTCATAAGTAGCTTTAAAGTTATTGGGTTTTGTTTTTAGAACCTCAACAATAAAACGTGGTTTGAATTCAGTAATAACGCCAGGCAAAAGAATGAATGCTGTGTAAGAATGTAGCCGTATATGTGAAAGGATCAGTACTGCTGTGTTATGTTGTACATAAAACAAGCTGTAAACTTCAAAATAGCATCAGTTGTCATCAGTTGTCCTCGCCAGAAGGTTAGGCCACATGGAAACAATGATGTCACTTAAAAAATGGTCTGTTCTTGAGATTTAATTGAACAGATTAATTGAACGATATATTGAAAACCCTTCATTTTCTGCATTTGGTTTGATAGCGTTTTTTCCACTTTTTTCTCTTTTATCTACTGTAGGTTTTGTATTCATACTCCATCGGTTTTGTGTACATTTTACTGGGACTGACGTGCACTAGTGGGCTAGGCCCCGCAGTAACATTTTGTTCAAAGGTAAATACTAATCACGTTTTTAAAAATAAACATCTTCCACTAAATAGTTTCCTCTGTATTTCTTGTTCAGAAAGATTATTTTTTATGTAATTTGATAACTCCTTTAATATAATATATGCAGATCAGAAATTATTTCAGAAATGAAATGATTTATATTTAAATTTATTTTATCCTTGCTCTACCCTATAAGTTAATTTTTAAGCGATGCATAATGTGTAAAAGTTGGGGATTTTTAATTTCATCATTGTTTTTCCATTAAATCAGAACTAAATAAGAATCTTTGCTTCACTGCATTGTTGAATGGCTTATTACTGCTCAGGAGGTTGATTAAAATCTGTAGTTTTATTTCATTTGTAATACCTCAGGGTTTGTTTTGCATTTTCCTAACAGGCTTTTTTTTATATGTTGCAGAATCCGATTCAGACCTACGGTTATGCTTTCCTTTTTTCCCTCACTGGGTATTTTGGAATCTCCTTTGTTCTGGCTTTGATTAAAATTTTCGGTGCCCTTCTTGCTGTAACAGGTAGGAATGATATACTTGTGTAGATTATGAAATGAGCATTTAAATTTTCTCTGATGCTCGTTTTCAAAAGATACAGGCAGTGTCTACTTTGCGTTAAAAAGAAAATTGTCATATTCCATCAATTGATTTTTTGGCTTCTGGTGTTTCTTTAAAATTCTAAAGAAAATGATGTTTCCTCATAATTTTTTATTTGAAGGTTTAATTTTAAAATCAAATATATACATTTATCTAAATAGTAACTTTTAAATGCATTAAAAAAATTTTGTATTAAAAAGTGTGATGAGCTCTGGGGCACCTGGGTGGCTCAGTCATTTGGTCGTCCGACTTTGGTTCAGGACATGACCTCACAGTTTGTAAGTTTGAGCACTGCATTGGGCTCTGTGCTGACAGCTCAGAGCCTAGAAACTGCTTCTTCAGATTCTGTATTTCCCTCTCTTTCTGCCTCTTTCCCGCTCATACTCGCTCGCTTGCGCTCTCTCTCAAAAATAAAATAAACATTAAAAAATGTTTTTTTAAAAGTGTGATGGGTTGAATACCTTCAGAGAAAAATCCTGCTTTTATATACACTTTTACTTAGAACCAAAAGTTCTTGTTTTGATGCACTGAAAATATGGCAGCTATATTTTAAACAAAACTTTTTGGACCTTCATGCATACCCTTTCTAGGGCATTAGCCAGATTAGCTTCTCTTGTCACTGATAAGTATTATACACCTGCTCTGTGCAGGGACTTTGCTTGGCAGTTTAGAGGAATGGAAGTTCTATTTGTTTCTCTCTGGAGGAGTCAGGAAGACAGATGAGAGGCTACAGGTGAGGCCCAGTGAGAAAGATGGATGTCTCCGTGTGCTAACCTTGTGCCATTTGCCAAGCGAGTGCTCCAAATGACAGTGCACTCAGCATCTCCCATATGGAGAGAGCGCTGAAAGGAGCCCAGGATTGGAAGCAGTGTGGCTGGTTGGGGAGGTCAGAGAAGGTAGAACGCAGTCCCAGCTCTGATGCTTAATGGCATGTGGGCTGGAGAGTAACTCCTTCCTCTTCTCTGGGCTTCATTTCTCTCTTGTGAAGAGACTGGGTTGGACTTGACCGTTTCAATCGGAGATATGTCCAGTTTCCATCATAATGCACACATACATTAGCCATTTACCTGATTTTAACATTTTGTAGTTTTAGGGGAATACTTATTTTAATTCTGCAGAATAAATTAAGCAAATGAATAAATACCACTCTCTTCCTAAAAGTATAGTTGCTTCCTAAGGTTTCTCTTTATTTGTTCACATAGGACTCCCCTTTCTAAAGTTTGTTTTGCTAATGGTAAACAGAGGGCATTTAATTGTAGGTGAGGCCATATCCATAATCTGTCGGGTCATCTCTACTACCAAGACGAATTGCAGATTATATACTTAGCTCGGGTTCCAGTTTCACTTGTAAGATAATAACTGTTCAAAAAGGGTTTGATATCAATTGATATGTATTATCTAAACCCTGTGGTTGGTATAAAAAAATCTGAGATGCAGTCCTTGTCTTAAAGGTGCAGACAGGTTTATTTTTCTCCTGTGGTAATAATAATAGCCAGCACGTATATAACCTTTATTATGTACCAGGAGCCGTTTCACATGCATTATTCATCTTGATCTCACAATAATCCTGTAACTAAGTAGGCACTATTACTGTTCCATTTTACAATTGGTACACAGAGGGACGGAGAGGTTAAGGGGTTTGCCCAGTGGTCAGCCAGCTGGTAAGTGGCAGACTCAGTATTCCCACTGAAGCAGTCTGGCTCCTGACCTGTGCTCTTAACCCATGGGTGACACTATCTCCTGAACTGGCGTGGTGGCCCCATGCTCATTAGGAAGCCAGATGCCTTCTGTCTTCTCTGCCAACTTGTCTCCATCCTCATCCCGGGCAGTGGGATGAAGAGAAATGAAGGATACACCTTTCTCTTCAGAGAATCTTCCTAGAAATCACACTTCTAGAAACTCACTTTTCACTGGCCCAAACCTAATCACATGACCACACCTAACTGTAGGAAAGGCTAGAAGGTATGCCCAGGTAAAAATAGAGCAGAAGGAATAACACAGAAGGAAAAAAAAGATTCAGGGAGTCAGGCTCTGACACATTTCCAAAACTGTTTCTTCATTTGGAGTTCATTTGTTCATGCATTGGATATAGAGTGGCAGGGACTGGGGTCTAGGGGACATCAAGATGAGTAACACAGGGAACTAAGCAAGACACACAGTCCAGAGAGGATAGCAAGTGAGAGTGCAAAGCCGGGAACAAGGCCGCCATGGAGGTACATGCCAAGTCCTACCTCCATCTGGCTGGGACAGGGAGGGGGGGGGGTTCTCAGGCCTTCCAGCAGACTGAAGGTGGTACAGCCATGTGAAGAGGATTGTAAAGATTATTCATGCTCTTATCCAGACATGACCACTATCAAGATACTAGTGTGTGCTTTAGCTTACTACTTTTATTTATTTATTTTTAACATAATTTATCGTCAAGTTGGTGAACATATCGTGTATACAGGGTGCTCTTGGTTTGAGGGATAGATTCTCGTGGTTCATCGCTCACGTGCAACACCCAGTGCTCATCCCAACACTGCCTTCCTCCATGCCCATCCCCCATTTTCCCCTCTCCCCCGCCGCCCCATCCACCCTCAGTTTGTTCTCTGTATTTAAAGTCTCTTCTGGTTTGCCTCCCTCCCTCTCTGTTTGTATCTATTTTTCCCCCTTCCCTATCCCTATGGCCTTCTGTTAAGTTTCTCAAGTTCCACAGATGAGTGAAAGCAGATAGCACTGCTAGGAATTTAGCTTACTACTTTTAAAGAATAATACCTGTTCTACCTAATCATACCTTCCTTGTGAAAGCCTTTCTTTCCTGCCAGATTTAGCATCTCTAAGGGACTGACCTGCCTCCCTGGTGTTGTGGCCTTTATCAAGCACTTATTACAGCTGGACTTTTTTAACTGTATGATTTAATGTCTATACTCGCTGCCAGACTGTTAACTCCATAGGAGCCCCAACAATGAGTTTCCGTTTGTTTTTTGGTTTCTGTTGTTTTCTTGGCCTGTTATGTAGATCTCGGCACATAGCAGGCTCAGTAAATAAATGATTTCCAAAATATTACCGAGATAGTAGGCACATTCTAAACCAACTTTTTTTCTCCCTACAGTGACAACAGGAAGAAAAGCAATGACTATTGTGCTTTCATTTATGTTCTTTTCTAAACCATTCACATTTCAGTAAGTACTTTCTAATTCAATAATTTTCTCTACTTGTAGGTACCTGGGTTCACATTTCACATTTCCTTAGTTCCTTTATAAAGAGCCAGTTTTATCTGGAGCCATACTTTATTCTGCTGCTTCAGAAGTGCGTGTAATTATTTGGAAGAAATCATGTTGTTCACTTAAACTGCCTAACTAGGGTCCCAGTGCAAGTGAGACCCTGTTTCCAATATAAGTGAACATGAGCAATGTCTTGAGACACAGGGATTCTGTTGCCCTAGTACAAAAATATAAATTATATGTGTGTTAATACATAAGTTTTATATATGTGTGTGTGTGTGTGTGTGTGTGTATGGTTTTTAAAGTTGCAAAGTTTAGTGGCACCTGGGTGGCTCAGTTGGTTAAGTGCCCGATTTTAGCTCAGGTCATGATCTTGCGGTCCGTGAATTCGATCCCTGCATCAGGTTCTGTGCTGACAGCTCAGAGCTTGGAGCCTGCCTCAGATTCTGTATCTTCCTATCTCAGATTCTGTATCTTCCTATCTCTCTGACCTTCCCCTGCTCACACTGTCTCTCTGTCTCAAAAATAAACACTAAAACAAAAAATAAATTAATTAAAGTTATTAAGTTTATTGTCCCCCTTTCCCACAAAGGATTTGAGGTAGAGATCTCTTCAGTAAGTTCTTGTAAAGCATTTACTGTTTTCTTTACTGCCTGGTATGCGTTTAAAATTAGTATCCTTTCAATTTATGCTGCTTAGTAATTGAGAAGATTCAAAGCTAGAAATTATCAATGTATAAGCTTAGAAGATAACCACAGATAAATTGCAGTTGGTATATTTGTTTTCTATAAATTAGTTTATGTTTGTGCATGCGCTAGGTATATATTCTAGCAACCCATGTAATTCCCCTACTTTCTCAGGACATGCCCTTTTCTTTTTTATCTCCCAGTTCCACCCAGCTGGGATAACTGGTTGGACTGCTGAACTGAATTCCCAGGATGACCACTGGCAGCTTCACATATTCAGTGCTTAAACCCTTAAGACTGTTGGTTAGGACATGGACTTGAATTTGCTATTATTCTCAAAATTCAAATGAACTACATTTAATATTTTGTAGCATAACCTCTATGTATATACTTAACATAAAAAATATGGAATTCCATCTAATCTGATCTAAAAATACTATTTTTTTAATGCCATAGTAAGCCTCCAGTAGCAAAATTTTATTTTACTGAAGAATTATTGTGAACTCACCACCAACTTCTGTGGTTATCAATAAGTTGTTGCCTTGATATTAATATTTTTTTCCTTCTTTCTTTTCTTAGGTATGTCTGGTCTGGTTTGTTAGTTGTCCTTGGTATATTTCTCAATGTTTACAGCAAAAATATGGATAAAATAAGACTACCAGCACTATATGATCTCATAAACAAAATAGTGGAAATGAGAAAGTCAAGGACGTTGGCACAAACTGTATAGAGAGTGATTCACCCTGTTTAAAATAGAATTCTAAGGGAGTAATCATCAAGTAATTAACTTTCCGAAGGCATTATTATAAAAACCAAAGGATCTGAAGGCATGCTACCCACTTGTGGATGGGTCCCTATGAAGTCAGCCTTTTCTTCAGGACACTTGCTTAACTTGTTTGACTTCAAGAGAAGCAATCAAGAGAGCCGCGTCTGGCACGCCTTAGAATGAAACGTCAGTGTGAAGGACTAATTCTCAGCAACCTGTTGAGAATTTTACTGGAAATGGACCATGTTGCAAAACTAATTGGATATCATTATGACGTATCATAGAAATTGATATAATAATATCAGTTAATAGATTGTTTTGTCTTCATTCCATTTTGGTGGTGTTATTTAAATGATTCTCTGTTATAAGAGTGAACTGTTGATTTAAAGTCTAGAAAGAATAACTTCATTATAAATAAAAATTATTCTGTGATTTTTTTTAATAAATGTGTTATTAGAATTTTGTTATGAAGAGGGAAGTGAAGGTTAGAGTAAGGCTTTACATAAAACTTAAAACTTAGGCTTTTCTCTGATAATTTAGGAGTATTCTTTACAGAAAACATGCTTTAAGTTTTCTGTGGAATATAGACAGCATTATAAACAGACTCCCCCTGCATCCTGTAAGTATGTGGCACAGAAAAATTAGCTACTGTTCATCAAAGAAGTGCTAAAAGATTTAGTGATTTGGATTTTTTCATTGAGGAGAAAATGATGCATGTCTTAAATTATAATAAAATAATAAAATTATAGTTTTTCTCATAAAAGTGAAATTTAATTTGGCAGCGTAAAGATTAAATGGGGTAAACGAAAAACACAAGTAGATTTTAACAAATTTGTACAACATCTTGTTTACACAGTTTTGAGTGTAAATGCAAAGATTTTGGCTCTTGCAGCAGTTGAGTTTTGGAATTGCTTCCACTGTATTGAAAAAAAATCCAATCTTCATTTTCAGTATAAGTAATGCTAGTTAAAACAGCTTACTTTCTGTGTTATTGGTGATATCACTTATATTTTGTGAGTGTAATGTACTTGGAATATTTCATCTTGTTCTTAAAATTCCATTGTAATCTGCTGGTAATTTTAACCTGTTATGTGCACATGTGGGTACAGCAAAGCCCATGATAATCTAAGGATCTAGCCATAATTTAAGGAATTCTGACTGAAAGTCAGTCATATGTTAAAATACTATGGGGGTATTTTTCCCCAAATGGTAATCATTGTTTAAGTTTTCATATTTTAAAATGAAAAGAATCTTAATTTGTATTTCATTATGCATTCTTAAACTCTTAAGACAGTAAGCATTTGTGCTATAAAAAAATCAATTTTCCCAAGTTCTTGATAAAAGATGATAATTTTAACTTTTCAAAGCATCCTTTTATGTACACACTTTTCTATTTTTTTTTTACCTTTTGCCTGTTAAGAATTCTTCACCCCACACCCCCAATTTTAAACAGTTTAGCACTGTGTGAAAATTGATTTGCCAGCACAACCCTTTTACCCGTTTCCTTTTTTTTTTCACCTGCTATCCGATGGAGGCAAACTTCATCTCACTTATTTGTGTGCGTAGAATACTCTTAATGAATAGTGCAAATTACAGAAGACTTTCTATAGTAAAGGAAACCAACATTTGAATGTATACTTTGTGTCAGGTTTTATAATAGCATTCATAAATATTATATGATCCCAACAACTCACATATAAGTAATATAATTAATAAAGGAATTAATAATTACTAAGATCACTAAAATTTAAGTGCTTATTGGGTGCCAGGCACTATTTTAAGTGAAATACTCAACAATTTATTTAATCCTCACAACAGCTCTATGAGGGCAAGTATTATCTTCGTTTTACAGACGAGGAAGCTGTGGCCAGAGAGATCAGGTAAAATTCCTAACCTTGTGTAGCTGGAAAGAACCAGAGGTGTCTGTCCAGCAGCCTGGTCCCAGTCAGGGACCTCTACTTGCCTCTCTAAGTAGATGTGATTGTTTATGTTCATGTTTTGCAAATACAGATGTTGAGGACCAGCATAAGTACTCACTAGCTCACAGTTAATTGGATTTCAAGCCCCGTTCTTCATGCCCCAAAGCATATTTTCTGCACCCCGCTATGAGCATTTAGGTAACAAGTAACATAACGATGAAGTGTTTGTTTGTTTTTTTAAGTTTATTTATTTTTGAAGGAGAGAAAGCATGAGCATGAACAGGGTAGGGAGAGAGAGAGAATCCCAAGCGAGCTCAGCATGGAGCCTGATGTGGAGCTCGGACTCACAAGACGTGAGATCATGACCTGAACTGAAATCAAGATTTGGACTCTTAACCAACTGAGCCACCCAGGTGCCCCAATGATAAAATATTTTTTAGTAAAGAATTTGTGAGACATACTTTAATGAATAGGCAAGGATCATATGATCGGAACATTATTTCAGTGCAGATCGATGTATTTGTTTTAAACAGTATGTAAATATAAATTGTTTCTTCAGCTGTGTTCACATTAGGTGTCTGTCACATAGTCAGCACTCAGTAAATATCTGTGTCATCTAAGACTAGTCCTCAAAGAATACCAGGAGGCCAAAAAATATATTGGATAATGTAAGTTCTGAATTCTTCCAGCAGATGTCCCCTTTTTTAGTATAATAACAGCAGAAGAATCTGGCCAACTCGTGTGGATCACTCTATTAGATTTGATACACAGGTAAGCCAGCCTAGCCAGAATCCTTAGTAAGGCCAATTTATACAATAAATAATTTGGCTGGCCTTTTCCTTGGCTCCTCACAGGAAGCTTCTAATCTTTGGGATTTCCCAAGTGATGGGCATGTCTTTGATATTCATGGTAGGTCCTTCAGTAGTTCCAAGGTAGGGGCTGGCCTTGCTGGGATGACTGACCATGTAACTGCCTGTGGAGTTGGGTTTTGGAGCCCCATCATATCAGCCCAACCTCCAGGGATGGGAGAAGATTTGGAACTTGAGTTCAATTGTATAGTCAGTGATTCAGTCAATCATGCCTATGTAGTGAGGCTCAATAAAAACTACACACGAAAGCTTGGGAGAGCTTTTCAGGTTGGAGATACACATGGATGTGCCAGAGGAGGGTGCCAGGAGTATGTGCCAGAGGACATGGGAGCTTAATGTTTGTCACTTTCCCAGACCTTGCCCCAAGGGTTTCTTCTTTTGTCTCATCCCGATTTGTAAGCTTTATAACAAAACGAATGGGATGTATAGCACTTCCTTGAGTCCTGTGGATTGTTCTGGCACACTCTCAAACCTGAGGGGATAGTGGGAACTGCTGAATTTGTACCCGGTGGGTAACGCATACAAGTGGCCTAAGGTCCCCAGAGCTTACAGCTGGTGTCTGAAATGAGGCAAGTCTTGTGGAGAATGCCTGTGAAATGACCTAATAGGGGTTGTTACAATTCCACTGCAGGCTTTATTGCTGAACAAATGCTTTTAAATAACTATGAGCATCCTCTGGATAGTTTTCAAAGTCTGAATTTTCTCAAGCAATTTTAATTTAACCCACTTTACAGTCTAGATTCTTCCTTGGTCAACGAGCATAGAGTTCTAGTAAAAATTGACCAAGATTTGGGGACAATAATAGGGCTTAGCATAATGAAAATATTTTTGCATTCCAATATCACATTTATCCTTTAAACTATAGTTTTCAAGTTACCAAGTGCTCAAAACCTTTGTGTGCTTTCTTCCTAATTAAGCACATGACCTTTTTTTTTTCCATTGTGTGAGCAAAAAAAAAAATTTCCTGTTTTTACATACTCTGCTTTTTGAATGTCCTCGTTATTGCCCATGGGGCCAACCATCTTAACCTTTTTAACAAATTGTGTAGCATCACTCATTTGACTACTCTATTTTTACTTTAACATAATTTCCTCATCCATTCTCACTGGCCAGATATGAGCCGGGCATTATACTAGATGCTGAGGATGAGAAAAGGAATCAAATAAACCCTAACTCTTAAGGACCACCTACTCTAGAGAAGATTTGCTGTGATTGCTATATAAAAATACATGAACCTCCAGTCACGGAGTAGTTTATTAGCCTGAAGTTTTCAAAATAACTCCCCACAGTGGTGGTGCTTCTAAAAATTAAATGTGGGCATGAGTCACCAGAGGACCTTCTTTTAAAAGATTTTAATTTAATAGGGTTGTCTTGGGGCTGAGACTTCACTCTAACAAGATGCTGGTGCTGCTGGTCTTTGGACCACGTGTGCGTATCAAAGTCTTAGAATACCAGATCTTTGTCCTCTTCTCGGGGTCCAGACATCTTAAACTATTGGAATAACTTCCACCTCATTCCCATCCATTTGCTTTTCAAACTTCCCATTCTGTGGGACCTGACGCTATTTAACATCTCTAAGTCTCTTTTTCTTCAAACTGAACAGAAATCTTACCATGTTGCAGAGTTGCTAGCATATGTGAAAAGAGTTCTTTAATCATTGTAGGTGTATGAAAGATTTAATATTCATTACTTTCTCCATAAATGTTACTTTTTTTTTTAATCTTCACAAAACTAAGATAAACCCATAATTTCCTACCAGTCATGGTCTGTTGTTTTAATTTCATGGCATGTAGTTAGAATGCTTTTTATGCTATTTTGTAGTGACATTATGAAGAAAATGTTCACTTCAGTGATTTGCTCTGGCTTCAGAATGAACTGTGTATTATAAGAGGTTCAGGAAGTAGGACTTAACACTTAAGGGATTCTTTTGAGACTTTAATCACAAAAAATGTGTTTTATTAAATATCTTAATCCTATGATATCCCCCAAATTTCTAAAACATAATTAGTCCATTTTAATCAGTTTAACACAATTGATAAGATTTAAATAGATGAAATAAGTAAAATGTGGATAATTACAATAGATAATGATAGAAATGAGACTTTGGAGTCTGATTATTAGAGATTTCCTTACAGTACTCACCTCCCATTTTTCTTCTAATGCCAGTCATAATGAAAGGACTAAAAAGCATATTTCTGACTCAAGAGAAAATGAACATTTGGGAAATAACTTTTTTGTATGTTCTGAAAAATTGCTCATTCATATATATCATTTTTTTTAATGTTTTATTTATTTCTAGGAGAGATAGAAACAGCATGAGCAGGGGAGGGTCAGAGAGAGAGGGAATCACAGACTCTGAAACAGCCTCCAGGCTCTGAGCTGGCTGTCAGCACAGAGCCTGACGCCGGGCTCGAACCCACGAACCGCGAGATCATGACCCAAGCGAAAGTCGGACGCTTAACCGACTAAGCCACCCAGGCGCCCCATATATATCATATTTTAATCGTGTAGGAATTGTGTGTGTGTGTGTGTGTATACATACCTAGAGATGACTCATAAAGGCAGGTAATCATCTTTTCTCTGTTTCTAACTAAATATTGACATAATATTAATCTATAATATATGTGCTAATCTCAAGACTGTTTTGGTATTTC